CCGGCTCAGTGGTCTAATGGTTAAGTGTTCGTGCACGAGACCGATATGTCCTGTGTTCGAATCTCGCGGGGGGGGGTTGGCTGGATCGTGGATGAGCACTGTTGAGGATTCCCACAATGTGACGAAACGGTCGTCTGGTACTTCCAGGTTTTCTACGATGGTCTAGCTTCAACTGATTCATGAATACAACTACTAAATTACTATGAGAATAATGGTTAATTTATTTTTGTCAGTATTCATAATTCAAGTAAGTCAATTTGTAAACTGTATTTCAATCAACTTATTCATGTGTATGAAACTCAAAGAGAACGTTTCTTTACCAATAGTACAGCTTTAAATTCTTCAGTTATTAATATACTAAGGTGAATTAACGTAAATTTCAATTGAGCTCTAGTATAACACGCTACATACTTTTCACTAAATTGAAAGTATATTTGTTAAACATAAATGAAAATGTGAAGTAACAACTAATTTGTTTTTAAAAAAGTTGAATAACATGATTGAAATCAATTTGTTTTGTATATCAAAATAACTTATCTACCGGGTAATTAGTTCATTGAATATCGAGTTATAACTTCATGAATTTAAGGCATATTAACCTATAAAGTACATTACAATGCTTGGTATAACATAAAATATTATGGAGAATGAAAAAAACTACCGGACAAAGTAGAAGTACTCAATAAAGTAACGTATAAATAATTGGAATTTTATTTTATGTTTAGGACTCACTTCCGGAAGTTAATTTTCATAAATTAAGTAGAAATTGATTTGAAAAATCTATCTTTTTCAAATTCATCACACCAAAACACCTTATTTAAGGATTTATTTTTTCACTATGGATACTCTTTGTAGTTCAAATAAAAATTTTTTTATTTCAATTACGGATAGTGTTGAGATCAATTGACTTATTTTAACTAACTCTATACATCACAATTAATTGATCACTGGGTGGTGATCAACGTCATGTGTGTCAAGACCTTCTTAGTGCAGGTCGAATGCTATCGACCAAGTTGCGATGTGGTCCTACAGGAGGTCAGTCGCTGCCCGGATAGCCCAGTGATAACGTCTCTGACTGTGAAGCCGAGTGACACGGGATCAAATCCGTCAGGGAGCACCAGTTCCTTCATGATTACAGGTACACCTTGCTGACGAGTGCCAAGTAGCACGAAACCCAGGTCCAGGGTTTCATATTGACTACCTCCAACCACCATCTAATTCTATACATATACGCATATTAAACGCAAATGTGATTTATATTATAAAGCTAACTTGTTACGTCATATGGTATTATTAACTTTAGCCATGTGAAAGTAAGATAACACTTAGAAAATCAAGATCTCATGTCACAAATTCAGATATTATACTTTAAATGGTATAAAATTTATACCACAGATATTTATAATTAACTGTAATAATGTAAAAATACATTTTAATAATTTATACATCACCTTTTTAAAATATAGTGAAATTTGAGTATAACTAGTGTGACTTTAGTGTGGTATAATTCATTTGAAAAAGTACAATTTTTGCGACAAGATAATCGACTAGTAGGTTTTCTAATAGAGCTTCGTGTATTTTAAAACTGATATTAACTAAAGGACAATTGAAAACTATGAAGCGTTAATGAGATTTTTCATCCTTATTTTAGACTGATCCACTTTTTCAGACATATTTGAAATCTAAGGAAAAAAATCTATAAAAACTGAAGAACCGGACATTTTGAAAACTAATAAGTAGCCATTTCTCCATCGCTTTCATCTGCTCCATAGATGTTTTTAATATATCAGCGATAGACACAAAATCCAGTGAAAGAGTCGGAATACAGTGGTCGACAACTTCAGTTGTTTTGCATTACAAGGTTCGTAATCACCTTATATAGCTTTTTCGTGTATGCGAGTGAATCAGCAATAAAGATAACACGAAAATTGACGCCAAAATAATTACTTACGAAAACGCATTTTCAAGCCTTGATTGATTTACAAAACAATTTTCAATTCGGAGTGCCGTTATTTACTTTAATGGGTTTTATTTTATTTAATGTTTTGCAATCGGTACTTTGCTACAATACCTTTTACTTGTCAAACAAGGATAAAACTAACTTTTACTCTTTTATGCTGTTAGGGTAAGGACTATACATGTGATTCATTTTATCATTAATCATCGCTAGTTATAACATCTCATCTTTACAATATCTGAAAATTGATTTCATACAATAAATGACTGAGTAGGTAACCAAAGTTGAGTGTTAGTCAGTAGGGTGAGTTTTTGTTATCCATTCTTTCTGAACTAGACGGTTTAAATGCAAGTCATTAATTCCCGTTGCGGATATCATTAATGTCTGCCTCATGTAAAGCTAAGCTTACTAGTTCTTCTACAAGTCCAAAATAAGCTCGTTCTGGTAAATTTATCCATGATTGGCTGTAATTTGTCCTTTTCCATGTAACGACGCTTTTACAAATAAAACATGATAGACACTTTATCAGATTTACGATCATATTGTAAAGTGATATGACAGACTGATACAAATTAAGATATTGACTTTTCTAACCCTTTCATACTTAATTGTAATCTTATTTGTTAGATTGTATGTATTCATTTATATTTAATCCTGACTTTTCATCATGCGCATTTTTACAAACGCATGCTTGTCTATTTAGATTTAAATAAATTCTTTATCTATTTTCATATAAGTTAACTAACTCTCTGGGCTCAGAAACACCATCTTAACCGTCTCTTGATGAGCAATAGTCAAAGACCACATAATGTTCATCTATTCAGTCTTACCGTACCTGGTAAGTCGCATATTTGACATAAACATGCCCGAAACACAATTATATCCGAAGTTTATATTTATGTTTCAGAACTGTGATATGTCGCAAGAATATAGATATTTCACTGACTGTCATTTCTAGAATTAAATGGCTTTTAAAAAGTAATAAACCTTTTGACTAGGAAACATTCAATTTGACTTAAGACCATGTTCTTTGTTCCTGTAACATTTGGTAACCGGTTGATAGATTGTAAACAGGACTATCTGGGATTAGAACTCTAATTTATACAAACCTCAAGCATTTTCTGTTGTGAATGGAAGATAATCTTCGTCTACTTCTCTATAACTGCATCTACCAGTCCATGTTGAATACCCTTTATTAGCTATAACTACTCATTTCAAATATGTGAGAACACATTCCAGCTTGGTTTTAAAAAAGTAGTAGATAGTCTGTTAGGAACCCTATCCTTGAACAATAAACTAATTTCGATCCCGCAGCAGACACCCATTTTAAAGTTAACGAATCTGTCCAACTCTAAGACAATATAAATTTTATCTGTGATATGACACTTGGAGTCTGCATACGAAATGCATATTCCATATTTTATAATTATTTTCATATATATATATATATACCTCTGTAGTAGATACCAACCAAATGAGATTGATAGTGAACAAATAGTAACTGATAAGGATCTACACAGATGTATTAAAATGTGTAAACTCTTCAATTCATATTTCAAATTAAAACCTACTATTCAACGTTGTGATGTTAAAAACAGCAGTATCAAGAACTGAATGACGCGTATTCAATTTCGGGACGCAGTGATCCAAATACCGTGCTTTCAATTAGTGTTACTGTTTTATTTAATCAACACATTAAGTGAAAAGCAACTGTTATAGCATTGGTAAATAGCCATTTCGATTTCAAAAAGCATGTGTACTATCAAGTCAGGTGCCGTAAAACATCCACCCTAAATGGTAAATTCTCAAGTGCACTCAAAAGCACTCCATGTATCACAGTCGGTTGAAGCAGAAAATGAAACTATAATTCTTTTGTCTTTTCAATAATTGGGAGGTGAATCAAGAGTTATTGAGATTATGGTGTATAATCCGGTGAAGAGCATTTGCGCTGCATTCATTCGTTAGGTTAATATGTTAATTTGTGTAATAACAACCGGGTCATCACGAAGCTCGATTATTTTAAGATTTGAAATCATTTCATATAGTAGTAGTATTATGGATGCTTGTATTACCCATCTAAAAACAAATATTCACCTTAAAATTGAGACTAAGAAATACTTAACTGAAACAAAACAGCTCTAAACCATGTTTTTAATTATACTTCGTAAAATTATTTACACTCATTAACGTTCAAAAAATCTAGTAAACGGGACCACTAGAAATTTACGTCAATACCGTAGTTATGTCAGGCAAATAAACTTTCTAGATTAGTGCAAATTATCCATTTAGGAAGCCCGTTATCATACAGCTTCAAATAGACTACAAAAATGTTACTAATGTGTAAAATATCAACAATAATACACAAACTGTTCGTTGCAGATATCATTCAATGAATTCCTAAAAATAGAAAAGAAAACTAAGCAACGAGTTGATCTACAAATGTAAACTGAAAAGATGGTATCTTTAAGACTATATTGGAATTTTACTATCATATGCGAAAGCTCAGAGATAGATGACTACCTTGTGGGAGAAACAAAGACGAGAATAAAACGAATAAAGTAATAGATTAAAGAATGTGCACGGACACAAGGATGGGGGAAAATGACGAAAAACAGAAGTAATCAACCAACTTGAGAAGAAATAACAATAAACATGATACAGACTTTAATATCAATGTACTTATATAAAGACAGATTAGTCTACAGACAAGGCAAAGTTGACAGAAGTAGGATGAAGTTGACAATAGAAGTATTTAAACACTTTGAAAATGTTTTTAAACAACAGTGAAGCAGATCAATGTATACACTGTCATAAGAGTTAACTTTCTTTTTACATAACTAATATGAAGTAATAATTAAAAAGCAAAAAACATTACTAATAAAAGCAGAATGAATATAGATGGGAATGCTGATGAACTACGAGGATCCCTATTGTTGTCGCTATTATTGAATAATACACTAACGTGTTTATTTTTATATACACAAGCATGAATGGAAGACAGTAAACAAAGTCCACTATTGAATTATACAACAAAGTGGTAGACCTATTGAAATATAAATCCAGATTTCGGTGATACTGTACTAGCAGATTCTGCAGCAGTTCCCTCTGAAGATGAATGTGTGGAACCAAAAAAGTCGTAAAACCCACTCCCACCACTACCAGACGAGCTTCCTGGACTTGATGACTGATCGTTTTGTGGATTTGGTACAGCGTCTGGCGGAGCTTCTGAAACAAAACAGTTAATTAGCATTGATTAATTAAGGAAACTAAAAGACTTTATAAATGCAAAAGTTTACAAGTTTGATTCAGGAAATCAAAGGTTTTTAAATACAATTAGTAACTCAGTGGTACACAAAAAAAATAACCTCCCTCAGTTATATAGATCTTATGTATGTGTTGTTACTAATTATAAATACCATATGATACTGAAAGATGTGTGGATTGTAAACACAACCACTATTTCCCAAATGTTCAGATGTGAAGTTGAAGACCAAGCTACAAAACAAGAGTATGCTGTATAAGAGTAGTATAAAATATTTTTTAAACTTGAATGTAACATGTATCTAATGAAAATTATCTAATAAAAATAGAAACTTAACAACACTGACCAAACAGATAGTAGTGATAATATTTGCAAACTCACACAAGAATAAGAAATAAAACGGAGTACCTAAGTCTAGAATGGGTGAATTCCACCGATAATAATAATAATTAATTAATTAATTAATAGCAGTAATAGTAATGATGGGAACAATGAAGATACAAAAATGATGTGAATTTGTATATAAATCCATTCTGTCGACTAATGGGTCAGGGTATTTTTAAATCATTAGAACAAAATGACCGGAATCATAAAAAGGATTTTCTTTTGAACTCAATCATCATCAGTATATATATCAGCTTTAGATACCTACATAAAGATTTGAGTAACATCATAATGATTATTATTAAGGCATATATATATAGGGAAATATTTCCTCCGAAATTGTAAGATACAAACAAGCTTTTGTTAAAATTGAATGAAATAACTAATGAAAATAAATGTAGGGTAGATAACGGGTAAATATAGTAGTGATGATGTTTTAATAGGATGAAGTTAACTATCCAATCACCGAATATGTAGTATATCAGTCAAATTAATTCAGCTTTATTACTACCAATAAAACTCAATTAATTAACTCACATTTAGGTAAGAGGTACACTCTAAATGTGGGTGCTTATGATACTATCTGGTTGCCCAAATCGAAATACTTAGTGGAGCGGCGTCAGAACCTGGGAATGAGTGGCTGAAATCTGAGTGGATTAACTACTAAACCATAACTCCACTCAACCACTATTACTAATATTACTACTTCTGATATATACAGTGGATAATTTGCCTTTTCTTTTTTTTTCTTCAAAGAAACAAACAACAATAGCAGCAAAAGTTAACTACTTATAGTTGTAAATTTTCTAAAGATTTCTAGCAGCTGTTACTTTTTCGCCTTTTCTACATTGTGCTTATGTACAAAGTAAACATTTTAGAAAAAAGACAGAAAAAGTGGAGAGAAAGAAAATAAAAATATGTTGTACATGTCAACTGACTTGGAAATGTGGCAGGGGAACACATATTAATTTTCTAGTCGTTTTATTTTTAATCCTGTCTGCCGAACAACATGCTAATGATGAAAACGATGAACGGGAAGATAAAATAACTGGAAATGAGAAAACAAAGCTAAGATACCTAACCACCACTATACTGCCATCCCAAAATTATATGGGGGAAAATATTCAAAAATGCCAACTTGACGAAGAAATTACAAAAGGAAAAAATTCAAAAGAATGATATAAAATCGAAAAAAAAAACAGAAGTTATGAAGACTAATCTAGTAAGGCAATGTAAATTGAGGATTGACAGTGATTTATCATTCGATTTTGTAATAAAGAAATCATTCACTTATTGAAGAGATTACGTAACATATGTAGAATTTTGAGTATTCGCCTTTGAATCATATATACTACCTGATAGCTTGTCAAATCACAGGTGGGTAAGTACGGTGTATAAATCTGTTACACAATGATTAAAAATTTATAGGAATTACTAACTGAATCTAAATTAAGTTGTTTGTTTGAATTAATGAGCTATTACCCAACTCAGAAAAAGATTAATGGAAAATAAACATAAATTATGAGTTCAGAAATGTTGGTAAGTGTAAACTATCGGGTTGGGATTCGGGCATTTGACATGACCACTAGTTGGAGATGTTTAATAACATAACTTCGATTTGGTCCGAAATACGCCAATGTATTTACTCCTTGTCTTTACTTAGATCTTCATTTCAAAGTTATACATACCTTTGACTCCTCAAATTAATTTGTTTTGCCTGAATAATTTTTTTCTATGCTTAATTTGTTCACTACATCTACTACTTCCAGTGCTTAGGTATTTAATTTGATAAATTCATCTCCTCGTAATAATGTAGTGGCATCTTGGACGATGTACGTGTCAGATGCTTGCAACTGACTGGTGTATGACATAAACACCTGAGTCTTAAATGAGTATGAATACTCCTCATATGCGAAAATATCCCCGAGGATCACAGATTCACTAGAACCAACAAAAAATTGCATGAGCTCAAGTGCAACTTACATTGAACGTGATCATAATTGTCTCTTTAGAAAACGTATCACCATCATGTTGAAAAAAGATTTAAAATACTTGTCTTTAAAAGACACATAAAACTATAAAGTCACTCATTATCCAGATAAATCGAAAGCATACGTACAAACGTCATATCGTATTTGTAGAAATCGTTAAATAATGATAATCTGTTGCACCGATGCACAGTGGTTTCATTCATATTCACTAGTAAGATTATTACATTTGGGATCTTGAGGTGACCGATGGGATCCCCCTGCATACAGTAACTATTTCGAGGCCAAGATGTGAACTATGTGTTATGAATCCTCTTATTACGACTCACTCTTATTGTTTGGTAATCATGGACACTACTTCACTCGACAAGTCCTCAAAACAGAACACGGTTGAACAGGAACGTCATTATATTCCAAATAACAAGGCTGGATGGAAATAGGAATCACCATAAGAAAAACATTAATATATTTATAATATTTACACAATAACATTCTAGAGTCTTCTTTAAGTATCCACTGGTGCTAATTGATTAAGAAATAGCCAATCAACGTTACCCACACAATCCTGCACGGAACATGCTTTAATCCAATGTATACCCCGCTAACACTACGCCTTGTATGTATTCATACGTAAAGCCTCAAAAGAAGTATATTTGTTAAGATTAAAAGAGAAACACGTTTTCATTTATATATTTACATATATATGGGTAGCAAACTTACGCATTAGCATAGGAGCGAATCTATTTATCATGATTCCAAGCCCCTCGATAATTGCCAATATAACACCACCAACAAATGCTTGACCGACCATAGCTGTTGGACCATGACGAACAGCCAGAGCGGCTCCGGTTATAGCTCCACTAGTGATCGAATTCCACGGATCCTCTTTCTGACGAGCAAGAACTAAAGAGCAATCGACAGCTGTAAACACTCCACCCCATATAGCGAACCCCCCACCCGTGATTGGTGCACGTTGACGACTGTTAACCATTGCGCTTACTAGTTTTTTTGTATAGCCCGAAGGGGCGTTACGATAACCTCTGTAAAAATGTAAAACACTACCACCGATAGTACCCATAGCAAATGCAGCTCCACAATCACTGACGATACGAAACGGACTGAAAGAGATGTCAAATAAAGTATAAAAGGAATATTATACTTTTTAAATAATTGTTAAAACTATTATAATCACATTAGAAATATGGGTAACAAATTAAGCAATGTTACTTTCACAACATTAGATGAACATTGTACGCAAAATACTTATGCTACTGAACCTCTAACGCCATAAAGCTTCATCCAATCTATGAAATACTAACAACTCATTCACAGTGAAACTTCAGACAGAATACTAAGCATCAAGCGATTCTCGACAGGGAAATTCGTGAATAAATTTTTGACTTCATCCGAATCAACATGACGCGGAAAAATTTGTAAAACTATTTTGGTTACTTATAGTTATTTTAGTAGCGTAACAATCATCATGAACTGATTGAAATTAGACATGTACGCCATTGAAATCCGCTCAGTAACATGAAATATAAATGTTCACGCACAAAATCGCAAATCCAAGGTTTGACTTGTGAATGCATGGTGCATATGTGCACCGTTGAGGAGCCTCATAATAGAACAAAATGGCTACCCATAGTTCCTAAATTTCAATAGTGCTTTAACTAAGATAAGTTCGTGATCTAAATTATGGAAAAAATTCTTAAATAACAGATTACTGAATATCGATTTCGTACAACAGTATGATTTACACTAACATCCCAAACGTGGTGAGTTTGAAAATATCGGTCGATCGGCTACATTACAACGTATGACCAGGCATATATACGCATCGGTTCAAGTGATTAGACTCATTTACACTTTTATGAATACATGGTTAACTACGAATATATATTTACCCTGCTTCTACTAACTTGCACTGTGTTCGAAACTCTGTTATCATTAAATAATGAAAAGAGTGCGTATATCTACTACGCGAGTAATAACTCAATTCAATTGCTTCACTGGGCTAATGAATAGATGACCCCGATTGTTGCTGACACCTTGATGTGGTGGTCAGGTTTACCTATCGTAATGAACCAATCGAGCTATACTGGCTGGAACAATCGTCTCTCGAGGTCCAGCCATGTCAGACAGGTCGGTTGAAGAGCGGTAAAATTAAAATCAGCTAACCCAAAGTCCGAAGGTGAAATCGTACCGTTAACTGTACGGAAGTGTGATGGCAGTAGGGTGTTTGCTTCAGACAACCAGCACAACATCGATGCTGCCTTCCCGAAAAATACACACCTCGCCTAGTCCCACGGATATCCGTCTCCAGTAGTAATGTCCCATAAGTACGGAACTAACACGAAAATGACAGAATGTTCGTAATGCATTTCCCGTCCCCCCCTCCAAATGCAAGTTGTTGCTTCAGGACTGGTCTGCGTCAACACCTAAACTAAGGATAGAGAGTGAAGTAGTCGAACGCTTTGACAACTTCACTTATCTTGGAAGTCTGATCAGCCCTAATGGGTTGGTGTCTGACGGAATCTCAGCACGGATTCGAAAAGCTCGCTTGGCTTTTGCCAACTTACGCCACCTATGGTGAAGGCGAGATATCCGTCTATCAATAAAAGAACGAGTATACTGCTCGGCAGTTCGTTCTGTCTTACTTTACGGCTGCAAAACGTGGTCATTAAGAGTTGAAGATACTCGTAAGCTACTAGTATTTGACCACAGATGCCTTAGAAATATTGCTGGCGTCTGTTGGGATCATATGATATCCTAATTGTCGTATGAACTAGGAATTCCAGGATTAACGCAATTCAATTAAGAAGACACAAGCACAAACGAATGTATTGTATTTAGAATTTGAAATCAAGCATTCAACCAGTACAAAGGTATCATTAGTTCATTCAAACACCACAGACCATCGGGTAAGTAATAGTGAGGTTAGACGCAGGGTATTAGGGAATGATGGTAAATCAGGTTGTTAATCTTCGTCGACTGAGATGGTTGGGCCACGTGTTACGTATGCCTGAACACCGATTACCACGACGTGCAATGCTAACCGGTGTTAGAGATGGTTGGAAGAGAATTAGGGGTGGCCAGACCAAAACGTGGCATCAGTGCTTGAAGACACTAACCTCTAGTCTGAGCCATGTTGGTAGATGCAGACTACTTGGTTGGGGTCCGCGTGACTTTCGTAACCAATGGTTGGAGACTCTTGGTGACATGGCTCAGAATCGATCACAATGGCGTCGGTGTATACACTCTTTGTCTTCCCTTAAACTAAGAGATTAAAATCACTTCATATCTTTCTTTCTATTTATTTATTTATTTGGACACATGAATATTGGTACAAGAGAGCGCCAATATATATGCGCCACACAAAACAATGAAAATTCGAGAGGAATACAAAGAAAGAAAAAAAAGCTAAGGAGCGCAACAAAAAAAAGAGAGAACAATAACGAAGAGATTGGTGTAAGGTAATGTGCTAGTAATCAGGGAACGCAAAAGTACAACCGGAAGAAATCTTTCAGGTAAGGGAGACAGAACCACTTTTTATGAAGAAAGTAAAAGAAGGTTACAGCAGGATCGCCACTGGCTTCTATTCTGAGCCATATCTGATAACGTTTCTAGCCACTGTGTAGCACCATCTCTCAGACCCCAACCAGAGAGTCGTGAAGGACCAACACAAGCCAGTCCTTTGCAGCTTTCTTTCATGCCACGACACCATGTCATGCACTGACCACCTCTCCGCTTCTTCCAACCAGTCTAAGAGTCGGCAAATAATGCACGACGTGGAATTCTCTGGGACGACATTCGGAGAACATGTCCAAGCCACCGAAGTCGGTATTTCAAGATGGTAACACCAATTGAATTATTATCTCTGTGCCCGAACACACGATGCCGAACCTCTGCATTACTGACATGGTGTTGGCACTAAATGTCAGCAATCCTTCGGAGACAGCCATGATCGAACACAGAGAGTCGTCCAACATCATCAACTCGGAGAGGCCAGGTTTCACAAGCACAGAGCAAAACTGCTCTCACCGACGCGTTGTAGATCCGACCTTTTACAGCCAGACTAACATCACGAAGGCGCCATAGATGGCCCAGATTGGCATAAGCCGCTCTGCCTGCACTATACGTGCATTGATCTCATCACTCACACCCCCACCAGCACTTATGCAGCTACCCAGATACACGAACTTCTCGACTACGTCTATCTGCTCACCATGCAGGGTGAGTACAGGATTACAATCCTGCCAGTCTTGTAGAAGCACTTTGCACTTTGAAGGTGCAAAGCACATACCATACCTACGAACACTTATTGCCAACTGATTAAGTGCGGATTGCATGCCTTGGGCATTATCGCACAGTAAGACAATATCGTCCGCATACTCAAGGTCGAGAAGTTTCTCCAGGCAACAGATCCACACCACCATTACTTACATTCATCAGAGCTGTTTCCAGAATGTCACCGATGGCAAAGTTGAAGAGGAATGGTGAGATTGGGCAACCCTGCCTAACCCCACTACTCGAATGGAACAATGGAGAAAGGTGGTTGTATGCCCTCACTCTCCCTGAGGTGTTTTTATATAGGGCTTTTAGGATGTTAATAAACTTCTCAGGCACATCCTTCTTCAATAGACAATCCCAGAGAACAGTCCTGTCCAACGAATCGAAGGCAGCCCTGATGTCAAGAAACACTACGATTGTTGGCCTTTGTTAAGTATGGCGATGTTCTAACATTTGGCGGAGGGTGAAGATATGATCAATACATCCTCGACCAGAACGAAAACCAGCCTGCTCCTCGCTAGTCAATCTTTCTCGGGTTTTCAACAACCTACGAAGTATGATGGAAGCCAATAGCGTGGACGCAATCGGAAGTAGACTTATCCCTCGATAGTTGTTGCAGGAACGACGTGAACCCTTTTTAAAGATAGGGACAACTATCGACTCATTCCATGACGTTGGTACACTCTCTAGCACCCAGACCTTTGTAAACAACGTCGTCAATTCCTTAGTCAAAAAGTCACCACCATCCTTAAAAAGAGCCGGAGGTAAGTCATCTGGGCCAGGTGATTTGTAACGCTTCAAGAGTTGGAGTTCCTTGCGGACTTCCTCCTTGTTTGGTGGATCAGTCGTCACCGGCCATGGAGGGCAGGACAGTCTGACCGATGTTGCCGGAGCAGCAGGCCAGTTGAACTGCCCTTCGAAAAATTCTGCCCACCGTCCAAGACGTCGATGGATGTTAGTGATTGGCATCCCATCATCCTCGCAGATTGTTTCACTCACACCAGACTTCTTGCTGCCAGTGGCTCGGATGAGCTGGAAGAGCTTCCGGTAATTACCAGGTGCAGCTGCTGCTTCCAGCTCATTAGCACGCTTCGACCACCAGGCTTCTCGGTCCTTACGCAAGCTTTGCCCAATTTCCTTACATAACATCCTTCGTTTATGGTCAAACTCACGGTCACCCGGAGTAGACCGACGGGCTTCAATGAGTTGTAAGGAACCAGAAGAAACCCAGTGCTTAAAAGCGGGACGTTTCGCAAACCCAAAACTGACTGTTCCCGCCATTTTCATGGCGTCATGCAATTGCAACCAATGCTCGTCTATACTTTTCGGTGGAGTGGTAGCTAGCCTAGGGGCTAGCTCGGTTCTTTCTTTCTACTAACTAATTCTTTCTTCCTGTACTGCATCCTTATATGCAATCTTTCTATATATTACCACCTTTGACCTAACCACTCCTATGAATCCGGTGTTCATGTTGCTGGCCTAATGAGGTATGGCAACCTGGACCGATGCATATATGTGCCTGGTCCTACGTTGTAGCTGACTGACTGAATAGATAACGTTAATAGAAATGTGAGTTATAACCAGTCTGTTTTGTCCAACTAAAAAAACTACATGTTAATCCCAGCAAGTGTTCACGTCTTATTGACTCAAAGAGGATGCTTTGAAATCTCGATGAAACTTCTAGTTAAGGGCAATAAAGCATGTCGAGGTAGATTACAATTTTTATATTAGGTTCACAAAGTAGAACTAATACCACTAAACACCGCTTTACAAAGTGAATGTTCATGTAGCATCAATGTATACATTTATACGAGTGATATATATTCAGAATGCACAACACTGAGTAAAACATGTATTTCGAGAGGAAGCAATTACTTAGCTTAGCTCAACATTTTTAACTGATAAACAAAGAAGTTATATCAACTGAAAAACTTGTTACTCGAAACTCAAACTCTAGAGCCCTGAGTTGTTTTTATGACTTTTCAAAAAGAGAAGCACGGGATCAAAACGTGGTTAGTTACCTAATCTTACATATTGCTTATTAAACGACCGAGTACGAAATGTTGAGGTGATACAAAGTACTAGGCAAAGGTGGTAAATCTGTTGATGTGGCGCATATATATTGGCGCTCCCCTGTACCAATATTCATGTGTCCAAATAAATAAATAAATAAATAAAATGTCTAATCACCACCAACTTCCACGCGCAATGTTTCCTAGTGTGTGGGTAGTTTGGAAGCTATGGACAGCCAAATAAAAACAACACCAGTTCATGAATTTATTGACTGAGAGTTTCACCGTGTTGATAGGCCCAGACTACCTGGTTGGAGACATAGTGATAATCACAATCAATGATTACAGAAATTAGGTGAAAAAAGCTCAGGATGGGTCATTATGGAGCAAAGTATTACCTCTCACGTTCTTTTATCATCTAGCACCGCTAATGCAAACGATTCAAGTACGTACAACGCTATTCCTGGTCTCCTGAAACCACGCTCTAAACTAAATGTAGGAGCTTTTAACGTCCGAACACTGTGCCAAATAGAACAACAGGCTTCCTCAGCTAGGACTTTAGAACCTCGCGCCATCGATTTGTGCTGCGTCTTCGAAACGCGCATACAGGATTCGAGTAGTCATTCATTCAACCTCACCATATCAAAGTGAAGAACCATCCCGATCCACGCTTCGTGTATCTGGAAGCCCTGATACTGCTTCCCGTGGCCTCGGTGGTGTAGGTATAGCACTGAGTCCTGGGGCAGAACTAGCTTTCTTAGACTGGATTCCAGGAGACAGTCGTTTGTACGCTGTCAGACTAAACGGAACAGTAAAGACTCGGAAAGAAATGGACACTCGTCGTTGCATATTCGTCGTCTCTGACTACTCTCCCACTGACTGCAGCTCAGATGATGTAAAAGATGAGTTTTACAGAAAGCTTACCGACCTTCTCCAAAAGGTTAGGGGCTCTGAAGTAGTAAAATTGGCTGGTGACTTTAATGCTCAAGTAAGGTAAACCATGCCCCAAAATGCCCTGGTATAGCCAAGAGTGGGGAGAGTCCGCTCTTCCTCTCGAATTGCTCTCACATGGCCACGCGTATATAGCCTCTGCCAGGGAAGTCCTACTCACTGCTTTTTCGTGGCAGGGGTGTTGTTTACGAAAATGAGAGGACGAAAAGCGAATGTCCGGCGCTTTAACCGGATTCCAAATCAATGGTGCACATGGGCTCCAGTATCCTGCGGGAACAAATGGCGTATGAAACAGTTGTTGGTCACCGGCTTCCATGGGACTGCATCTCCTCACGATGCTCAACTGCCTTGTGGATCAGACCTTTAGGTCAAAGGCTCGGGGTGTGGCCCCTAAGAAGACCACCTGCTTCGGTTTGGGCACCCGGGCAGTATCACAGCCCTCACACATATCGACTGAGATTTGTGTGGCGCATATGTCTTTGGTGTCTCCTTGTACCAATATCTATGTGTTAGAATTAATAATAATAATAATAATAAAGGTAAACCATAAGGTTAGGGAGAAATACTGGGTCTCAGCAGCATCTACCGCACTGATAGATGCTCAAAAATTTACCTCATCTGGCTCGGAACATGACAAAGAGCGGAGTCAACTTAAGCGCAAACTAATAAGAAGCCTACACAATGATTGAGAACAATGGTGGGTAGCGAAAGCAAGAGAGGTGGGAAAGGCAGACAACTGTCCAGACTTGTCAAGGAAACTGGTATTAGGAATCTAACTGCTAGCGAAACTATCTCCGAAAAAGATGGACATGCTATTTACTCTCAATCCGTGAGGTTGGATCGATGGGCAGAACACTTTCGAGATTAGTTCAACTGGCCTTCAGCCACACTTCGGTTTCCCACGATCTCCAGTAGGTAAGGATGGCAAATCAATTTATGAAGTAGTGAAACTCCATCAGTTGAGATAGCTGGGGCAAATGTTAAGTATGCCCAAATACCGACTGGAAGAAAGCTAGCGGCAGCCAGACCAAGACATGGCACAAATCCATGAAGTCACTGACAAGTGGACTGAGCCATATTGGTAGGTGTAGACTACCTGGTTAGGATCCACGAGACGATAGTGACCGATGGTTAGAGACCCTGAATGACATGGCTCAAAATCGTTTGCAATGGCGCGGGTGCATTAACTCTTCGTGTTCTCCTAAATCCTAATCTGGATTCTTCACGTCCCTTTTTTTCTCTTTCCAACTTTACTTCTCTGGATTATACCCCTTGAGTAACATCTTCAAACCCTAATCTTTCCGATTACTGCTTATACTCTTACTACCTCTACCACTACGGGATTCGAATCAACAATTGTATCTCTGTGTTAATGTGGTATGGCAACCCGAACTGATGTACGTGCCTACGAAGTTCTACGTTGTTGACTGACTGGCTTTACTATGTCCAAAACCTTGAGTTCTAGTATTCTTTTGTACCTTTAATTAGTCTTTTCAAACCACATTTCTAATGTCTGTAAAATAGTAAAATCGTGCAAGAAGTAGATTAAATGTTACATTGATTTGGCAGATTATACCGTGTTGATAGACGAATGACCACTGATCGGACAAAGTACCTGAAACGCACGATGTCCGAAGATTTCGTTAGAGCATCATATTAGGATGTCATCTAAACACACGTGGGCAAACTTGAAACCTTCTGTAACCACGAGAATAAATCGACTCTTATTACAGGATTAGCAGAGTAATGTTAAATTTAGTGGATATATTTTATACTGTTCTTACCGTGGACGTTTGTGAAGTGGCGTCCATAATCGAAACCCCGTGTTCCTTTTTGCTTAGTGCACATCAATGAGCTTTTGACGCTGTTAGGTTTTTATACTGACGAGTGACAAGTGGTGAAAACCAATACAGAAAGAATAATCGATTCCAATTACCGATGACTTAACTGGACTAATAAAGCAACAAGGATTGGTAGCAATTGATTAAACAAACTCATATAATCCCAACAAGTAGAAAATACAAATCATGGGATAAACTTCAATATATATATATATATATATATATATATATATATATATATAATCTTGAAGTAAATATACGTAGACTGGAAAACAACTTATTCTAATCGTTATTATTCTGCACTATGACAGTAGGCAAAACCTCAATATTCAAACAAGAAAAGCAAAAAATACATATTAAAAGTAGTTCATAAAAAACCCTTACACACCAGGGATCTCTGCTGAACTCATCCATGTCAAGGTCTCGTGAATGACTGTAGCGCGAGCAGTTATATCGTGCAGCTTCAAATGGTTCAAATGGTTCAAATGGTTGTGGACGGAATAGAAGAAGCTTTCGCTTAACAGGCTTCCGTGTCTAGTAGCAGGGGATCACCAAATCCTCCAGGCAGGAACCTAGGTATGTTAACAATAAAAAAAGGAAAAGAAATTGGTAAATCATAATGTGATGCTGTCCTTGGTCCTTAAGAATAGGTCAAGTTGCCTCTTGAAGGACTCCTGAGAAGTCGCTTGGACTAGCTCTGCCGGCAGCGAATTCCAGCTTTTGACAACTCTTAAGGAGTAGAAGTTGTGTCTACATTCCGTCTTGCTATGTTGTGTTTCCAGTTTCTGGGTGTTACCCCTTAGATTACTATTCGAACTAAGCTTAAGTAGGTGTTTAAGAGGATGTCCAGAAGTGTTAAGAATACTATAAGCCATTAGTAAATCATCTCTAAGACGCCTATATTCTAGTGGGTAAAGGTCTAGTGAACGGAGGCGTTCTTCGTAAGGCTTAGATTTGAGTCCTCGAACTGATTTTGTGGCTCGCCGTTGGATACGCTCCAAAGTGACCTTGTCCTTATGGAGTGAGGGGGGAGTACTATGTTTCCGTACTCTAAATGGGGACGGATGAAACTATTGAAGATTGTGTGGAAAGTTCGTCCGTCAAACTGTCCAAAAATGCGCTTCAACGTTACCAGTGCAAGGTTTGCTCGGAAGGCATTTTTGTCACAGTTAGCGTAAGACTTTAAGTCATGGGGCACCAGGACTCCTAAATCTTTTTCGACTTGAGATACTACTAGAGAGGAGTTTCCTAAGTTGTAACTGCAGTCTGCAACATGTCGCATATGGACCAATTTACACTTTGAAGTGTTAAAGGTAAGTCCGTTATCGTCTGCCCAACTTTGAAGTCGCGTCAGATCCTCCTGAAGTGCCTGTGTATCGTCTTGGTTGCGTATCTCTCTCCAAAGTTTCACGTCGTCGGCAAAAAGTAGTAAGTCTGACGTTACCTGTTGAGGAAGATCATTTATGTAGGTCAAGAAGAGAAGAGGCCCTAGTACTGAGCCCTGGGGGACCCCACTAGGACATTCCATAGCCTGAGATAAAGTGAAATTAACCCTAACCTTAAAGTGTCGATTTTTTAGGTATGAAGTAAGCCAATCGATTAGAGGTGGTTTGATACCTAGTCGTTTGAGCTTGTTGATAAGACACAAGTGGTTAACCTTATCAAAAGCTTTTGAGAAATCAAGGTAAATGACATCAACCTTTCCCTTGCAATCGAGGATGCTTGTCCATCTGTCCACCGCAGTCAGCAGGTTGGTTATACAAGAGTAACCCTTCCTGAAACCATGCTGTTGGGGTGAGAAGAAATTTAAAGACAGTAGATAGTCATTTAAACCGTCGCATATCAGGGACTCCATGAGTTTTGAAGGTAATGACAGAAGAGCCACCGGCCGATAACTTGAAGGTTCATTGCGTCGACCTCCTTTGAAAATTGGTGTGATGTGAGCCAACTTCCAATTTTCCGGTAATTTGCCTCGGCTAAGCGAGTGTGAAAACATCACGCTAAGCGGCATTGCCAGGATTGAGGCTCCCTCCCTCAGTATGGCAGGATGAACCACATCCGGGCCAGGAGAAGTGTCAAGTCTTAAGTGCTGCAGTTTCCGGAACACCAAGTCAGCGCTCGGGTCCACTTCGGAAATTCCTTTGGAGTTGCAGATTAAGCTTTCGTCAGTATAGTTTATGTGGGTCGGTTGAAATGTTCGAGATTATTGTCCAGCCAAAAGGTTAGCGGCGTCGCCGTCGTCGCAGGTCGGGTCGTTAAGACCTAGCAGTTGGGAAACTCCAGTTTTGGCTTGACGAAGAGAGGCTGCATAACGGAATAAGGTTTTCGGATTACAGACAAATTTCTCCATAAGCTTTGTCTGGTACTGAAGCCTGCCTTCTCTTATGGCCGTTGTGCATTTGTTCCTTATATGTTTATATTGCGTGTACGCTCCATCGTTATTAGTTCGTTTGTATTCCGTCCAACAGTGCCTTTTGCGGCTTAGCAGGCGAAGGGTACGGTTCTTGATTACTGTAGGTGGCTCGAAGCTTTTGGGAACCGTTTGAGGAACTGAATGGTCTGTAGCACATAAGAGCGTGTGCAGTAAGAAGTCCCAATGACCATCCACATCGATTTGAGGGTGAACATCCCAAACCACCTGTTGTAGATAGTCATGTAGAGCTGGCACATTCAGCCGTTTAAAATTCCAACGCAAATTATTGTTGGGATACATTAGCTTAGTTTTGATGACAAAACTGAAGGCTATGACGGCATGATCGCTCTTTCCCAGAGGAGCCAGGATTGAGAGGTTGTCGACTAGGAATTCTTCGTTAGTGAATACACAGTCTAAGCGCGATGGTGTCTGACTGTTTCTCCAACGAGTTGCCGACCTCACGTTTTCATATAAGCCCAAGTCATTGATGAGGTTGTAGAACCGAGCTTCAATTGACTTGTCGCCCCCAGTATACGTGTGTTCCGCAAAGTTGACACTAGGGAGATTAAAGTCCCCTAGAATCAGGATGTGTGTGAAACCGGGACGGGTAGAGCGGGATAGTCCTTCCAGCATACGACTATCGTACTCGATGTCGGCAGTTGGTTTCCTGTAAATGACTCCGACTAGACACCTCGAAGTACTAGACAATCTTACAGAGCACCATCTAGATTCCTCAAGATTGTTAAACTCGAGGTTGTGAACTTGGTGCACCTCCAAGCAAGAGCTTATGTATATGGCTACTCCGCCCCCAATTCCTGTTTTTCTGTCGTTGCGGAACAAAGTCATCCCAGGTAATGCTAACTCTTGGTCCGAGAACTGAGAAGATATCCAGGTTTCAGATATTCCTATCAGATAGGCCTTATTAGCGTTGCTAAGTTCACGTAGTTCATCCAGTTTGTTTGGTAGACTCGCGGCGTTCATATATAAGCAGTTTATGCTTTCAATTTGGAACGCGTGAGCTTCGTCCTGTTTCTCTGTATGAACCTTATGTGAATGGACAGGTAGCCCACCTATGTGAGGTTTGCCGAGTTGGTAGGCCCTGTCCTTTACACGTTTTTTTTATCGTTTAAACAGTCCACAAGTGGAATGGTTAGCTCCAACTTGTCTTTGTTCTTGGTCCTAACTTCGTATGGCCTATCCGGGTGCATGTGGATTCCAGGTGGCAATCGACGTCTATTAGCACGAAATGCTTCAAAACATATTAGACTTAGTCTTTACCAGTGGCCTCATCCCCAATACTTTGTATATTGGAAAAAAGTTCCCAGGTAGTGATCATAACATTGTCATATGCAGCCTTAATGTAAAAACCACAACCGATAGAAGTAAAACCGTAACACTTCGTAGAAACTATCGCAAGGTTGATTGGAATAACTTCCACAATTACCTAAGAAGCACTGATTGGAGAACTTTCTTTACCTCAAACAATACCGACACATTAACCAATATATTTTATCACAACATCAAAAGTATCATCAACAATATCGCACCTTTAGAATACTGTAAACCTACGTTCTCCAAAGATCTCTATATACCGGTCAGTACAAGAAGACGTCTTCAAAGACATTGTACTCGATTCCACAACTTAAATGACTTTTCCTCTTTAGTAACGATGACAGAAATACTTGTCCGAACAGAGGCAATAAGTAAACAAAAAGCAGTAGCACAGGAAAAACGTGCAGTTGAACTTAATAATAACTCCTCTGCACTCACCATACTACTCCAAAATAAACTTAAACGCTCTAAATCGAGAGGGAGTATATTCATTAAAGGCAAACAAGTATACGAAGATCCCAAACTTATCACAGAATTATTCAGTGAACACTTTTGTTTCTCACTAACTAACGAAAAACCATTTAATGATTCAGAACCAATCCCAGTAACTCCCTGTGAAATTACTAATGTAGAATTCAGTGTACAAAATATCTCCAAAGCAATCAGTACATTGAAACACTCCTACACTGATGGACCAGATGGTATTCCATCTAGCATGCTAAAACGCGGAGGTGATGACATGTGTGTTTTGCTTCTCAAACTATTCGCGATATCTCTCTTCAGCGTGTTACCCTACTGCCTGGAAAACTACACATATCATTCCTAAAATTAAAACAGGACCTGAAGCAAACGTTGAAAATTACCGGCCTATAAACATAACTTCAGTGGTATCCAGAGTGATGGAAAAAGTAGTTAAGGCGGCTGTAGTCCAACATCTATCAACTAACAATCTCTTGTCGACCTCCCAGCATGGATTTCTTAGGTCCAGATCATGCGATACATGCCTAGTAGACTACCTGAATGATATAACTCTGAAACGAGACAGCGGACTCCTTGTATCAGTCCTATTCCTAGACTTTAAGAAAGCCTTTGATAAGGTCCCACACAAAAGGCTACTCGTCAAACTAAAGTCCTTCGGAATACACAACCCACTGTACTCATGGTTTGCTTCGTGCGGGATCATGAACTTTGGAAAGCATCCCTATAAACCACGACTTCACTTAAATGAATGTATAGTCCAAACACTCGAATCAGTACACGATTTAGGAATTAATTACACAGGAAGCCTAAACTTTGAAGAACATGCCTCCTCCATTATTTCTAAATCTAGACGGCTAATTGGTTTTATAATGAAAAACTTTTTCACAACAGAGGGTAAACTTACTCTCTACAAAATATGTGTACGACCCACCCTTGAATACTGCTCTTTTGTCTTCTCTAATATGAATATCGCAGACAAGATAAGAGTAGAAGATGTTCAAAGACGTTTCACACGTCAACTACTAGGATGTAACTCGAATCTCGATTACACAGACAGATGTAAGCATCTATCTTTAGAACCTTTATGGCACCGTAGGCTAAAACACAATTTAATATTTCTCTACAAAGCGATATATGGGCTCTCCTTTCTAACCTCCTGCCCGACTATCACCCACGACCCAGCCTATAG